CATTTACTGCCTCAGTTTGTTATGTGTTTGTGTCTCATGGTGATCGATATTATGCTATGTTTAGCTGGTAATTTATGCTGAAACCTACAAATTATGAAATACTGCGGTCCAGTACTCCCTGGTTTTCAATATCAGCTCATGACGAAATACTGTAAACTATGAGACGCTTCATCTAGATTGTTCATCAATCGTGTGTTTTATTGTGAACCGAATATGTCACTCAGTTTCAAGCTGACGGTTAACACGCTTGATTCGCATAATGAACAAGTGAGTTTTCAAAGTTCAAAACTCAATTGAAGTGCTAAAGTACTAAACTCTATATAGCCTGCAAATTTGGAGAAGAGATTTCAAAGGAAATTTGTTGAAACACCAGGTACGAGAGAAAGTATATGTGTGTATTGTAAAAACTAACCTGAACAAATGGAAAGAGAGACTTATAACAGAATCTATATTGATTAAGGTCACACCGGATACATGTAATAAGGGTGACTCAGTACAACTATCAACAACTTGGAATATAATTCTGAATATAAAAACGTGAATGAGCATAAAAAGAAATAATAATAAACTATATATATATATATATATATATATATATATATATATATATATATGAGTACAAATCATAAATGTGTGAATAAAACAATTCCAACAGTGGTGTGAACACAGGCAGTAATTTTGCTCGAAATATTACCAATAACAAAACAGTTATCATTGTGTGCAATCTATTGAAATATAATTATACTTTATTTGATCTAATCTACAATGCTCAAACTTTTTACTAATACTAGTTCACTAATTTTACTGAAGATTTTCCTCAAGATTTCTTGAAGCAGTTAGTTTCAAGCAACAGATATCTAGCTTCAGCATTATATTTCATCATCATCTTATTATTAGAGGACACACATCATAACCTGACGTCGATCCATTAGGGCTCTTTTTTTCACTAATGTCTTCAACTCTTTCTTAAAACTTTTAGACTTTGAAGGGAAATCTAACACCTTTATTAGCAAATATGCTTCGAATTGGCTCAGAAGTTAACAGTCATTTTTGGTATTCATTAAAGGATCGTATTATCACTTTCTGAATCGGCTAGCATGTAAATATGATATAAAATATTTATGTTTGATTTTTTTTATCAACCCATTTGAATAAGGCATTTAGAATACAAATTTAATGAGATAATATCGTTTCGTAGTTTATTTACAACCACTGTACAACTCTTACGGTTGTCAATAATAATATAAAGATCATGACAATTACTCAGTTGAATAAAAAACAAAATTACATATTAATGACCAGTCATATTTAGAAAGATCATGTAGTCCATGGTAGGCGAAGATTAAAAGTTATTGTTTTTCCCACATGCACCTTAGGCTGTATGTGATTAATCCATAGTGCTTCAGTCACCTACAATAACATTGAATTAGAGTTATGCGAAATAATTATGAAACAGTCATTAGTACTGTGAAACATGGGCACTGTGGTAGTAAGTATTTACAAATTAGTTTGTTTATTAGATATATCTCAAAGTGTAACCATATTATTTACTGGATGACACAATTTTGAACAAAATTTATTGTTCATAATCATATCATCAGTTGTAATCACACGACTTTGAAACTTGAATTTTATAGTTTTTTGTTTTCTCCCATTTCTCATAATGTTAGTAGAGTTTTCCAGATATCTGGGACAGGTGATGAATCATTCCTGTTACATGTATTTGAAGTTGATTCGATAAACAAAGCTTCTGTTATCAATCTCTCCCTCCACCCAGGTGTTACATTAGCTTTTAAAACTGTCATGCTATCACAACCTATTGTATGGTTGTGTGTGATTGCATGTAATGCTATGGCTGAACCATTCTCTGGATTTCTTACCTTATTCGGGTCAACCAATCTAAATTTTGCTAGGGATTTATGTTCGGTTAGTTTGACTCCTCCTGTTCTACTAGGCTCACCTATGTAGACTAAACTGAACTAAACTGAACTAAATAAACTAAGTTGTTTTGTTTTAAAACCTCCACATCATTCGTTAACCGACTAAGGTTCATCTAATGCCCTACATGCGATGATTGTCAGGTCAAATACGCAGCTGAAACTGGTAGAACAGGAGGAGTCAAACTAACCGAACATAAAACCCTAGCAAAATTTAGATTGGTTGACCCGAATAAGGTAAGAAATCCAGAGAATGGTTCAGCCATAGCATTACATGCAATCACACACAACCATACAATAGGTTGTGATAGCATGACAGTTTTAAAAGCTAATGTAACACCTGGGTGGAGGGAGAGATTGATAACAGAAGCTTTGTTTATCGAATCAACTTCAAATACATGTAACAGGAATGATTCATCACCTGTCCCAGATATCTGGAAAACTCTACTAACATTACGAGAAATGGGAGAAAACAAAAAAACTATAAAATTCAAGTTTCAAAGTCGTGTGATTACAATTGATGATATGATTATGAACAATAAATTTTGTTCAAAATTGTGTCATCCAGTAAATAATACTGTTTCACTGTGTGATAGCGTTCACTACTCGGAAAGCCACCCAAAGTTGTTGTGTCCGGTAAAGCTGCGAAGAAGGCCTCCAAGGTGAAGGTGCCAAAGGCTGATAAGAAGAAACGTAGGAGGAAGGAGAGCTATGCTATCTACTTCTACAAAGTTCTCCACCAAGTTCATCCAGACACTGGTATTTCCTCCAAGGCAATGTCAATTATGAACTCATTCGTAAACGACATCTTCGAGAGGATTGCAGCTGGAGCCAGTAGACTGTCGCATTAAACCAAGAAGCGTTTTAAACAAAAATTATGTACAATATCTCTAATTTCTACAAATAACCAAAAACTGTACAATCACATTGTTACGTACTCCACCTATGTAATAAACAAACTAATGTGGAAGTCATTAATGCTGAATTTGTGACCTGCCACATAATAGTGCTTTTCAACGGATGATCGTGAATTTCTATTCAGATTACTCACAATGGGATTTTCTATATAATTTATTAGCCATTTTGGAACATATTCTCTTCCAAGACCATATTGCAACATTCTGTTTGTTCCACTTATATAGGTGTCACCCCAACTGTGGGTGAACTTGTAGATAATGTTTGAAGTATTGTCCATAGAATTTCGTCCTTTATTCGTAGATATAGCGATCAAAAGTGTTCAACATGTCAAGGAAGGTGATGGAGCGTAGAATGTGCGCTTGATGGCTGACCGAAGTCTTTGGGCTGTCAACTGCATAATCCTGTCACCTTTGAACGGTAGGTTAACAAAGATAGCTTTCTTTGGTACAGTAGCTGTCTTTTCGAGATGTGGTCGTTCTTTACTGTGACAAGTGATAAAGTATTCCAGATAATCATGAGCTAATAAAACTGAATGTATATGACGAAACGCATCCATTACTGTGTCAATCGTGCATATTTTTAGGCCTTTGAGAACAAACATTTCACTAGGGAACGTTTATGAATGATAGGAACAAAACTGGTAAAATGAAGATATTCTCCACTCCATGTCTGTTTACGAAAAATAGGTCGCTGAATCGTTCAATCATTTCACCTGGTCCTTAAAATATCCAGGAAACCGAGTTTGCTATTCGATTCAAGTTTTGAAGTCACTCGAGTATTCAGATGAATATGATTAAATAGAGTAATAAAGTTTTCAATAGATTCAGAGTAAGGCAGTTGTAAAGAAACTACGAAATGATATCACCTCGCGAAATCTCTCTTCTTAATACCTTATTCAAATTTGTGAAAGGGACTAATTGTATATGTATATATATATATATATATATTGCAAATATCTTTAGAAAAAAGGCACCTCTAGAAATTTATTTTCTCAACAAAAATTCACTCACCCTCTCTCATTAGAGTCTTCTTGTCAAGCAATATTGTTAATTCTTTACAGTATTTTTCTCTGTCAGCCTGGGCATACTACTATTGTAACAACAGAAGACAAGGGCCAGGCAACAGATCGTTTTATTATGAAAATCAACACGTATTTATACATATTTCACATACATTATTATAGCTTATGCAAGTAGACAAGCGCAGTCATCTGATTGGAAGTTTATCAGAAGTTAGGCAGATAAACGCAGGCTTCTGATTGGTTATTACGGGATTCCTCGACAAATAGAGTTCTCTCTCTGCGAATCATATTTTGCCACGTTAACTTTGCTGTGATTGGTTGTTGAATCAGCCTTGCTCATATTTTCTCACGGCCTGCTAACACCACACTCGTCCCCCCGTCAAATACGTGCGACTGAAGTCGGCTTGATCTACTTGGTGCAGGCGTCATCGTTGGCTTGTCTCGCTGTATCCATTTCTGGAGCTCGCTGACGTTCACGCGCCTCTCATTGTTCGTCATTGCGATTGTGTCCGCGTAATCCCATCTCGAATTGACCATATGTGGTCCTTCCCACTTTGGAAACTGTTTGCCTGACCCTGTCGAACATTCGTCAGTATTTCGTCTCACACTTTCATATGCTGCTTTCACCCGACCTCCCAGCAGCGTCCCAAGTAGCAGCTCCATCGCTGACAGATCTTGAATGCCACTCAACGGCGCAGAAGCCTTGAAGTCCTGCCCGAAGATCCATATGTCTCCATCAAAAACAGCAGGGCAAAGGCTTTCCATTTGTCGGTAGGCAGCGACACCAAATGTAACAACAGAAGACAAGGGCCAGGCAACAGATCGTTTTATTATGAAAATCAACACGTATTTATACATATTTCACATACATTATTATAGCTTATGCAAGTAGACAAGCGCAGTCATCTGATTGGTTGTTTATCAGAAGTTAGGCAGACAAACGCAGGCTTCTGATTGGTTATTACGGGATTCCTCGACAAATAGAGTTCTCTCTCTGCGAATCATATTTTGCCACGTTAACTTTGCTGTGATTGGTTGTTGAATCAGCCTTGCTCATATTTTCTCACGGCCTGCTATCACCACACTATGTCTACTTTATTAATCTTTGTATTATGGATGCATCAATTTACAGTGCTACGCGACACATAGCTTAATTCGAATTCATCAGTAATCTCTTGATAATCTTGAAGTTTGTGCCAAAGTTGTTGTCTAAATGGAGATTGAAGGCATCATAATTAAACAAATCAGCTCAGAGAACGCAATCAAAACAAAAACACTTTCATTCAGGTTTACCATTCCTATCAAGTAATTGACAACACAAAATAAAAATGCATAACTATATAAACCTCTGATAAACTTTCTCAACAAACACGTCAAGCTTGATATTCGGCTTGAATTTTGCACTAGTCACTGTCTCATTGACGTATTCTTCAGAGAGTTATCGTCTCATCTAGTGAAAGAAGAACGGACACTTTTACTTCATCTAGTCGACACAAGTAATTCAAGTAGGTGGAATTTGGTTTGACAGTGTGAAAACAGCTTTTGTGATTACAAATCTGATTTGATAATATGAGGTGTCTACTACTCAGTGTATTACTGTCTGTTCTGGTCATCAGCAAATATATATATATATATGCATATATTTAAATGTATACATAGTTGTATCTGTCCAGAACAAACTGCAACATGTGTTACTTCTTACTGTTAATCACAAGTTTCATTCTTCTTCATATTCAACAATCCACACAAAACGGTGAGTTTCATTTTACGTTTCATAATCATTTATGCATTGAATGTATACTATCATCTAATTCATATAATCTAAGATATTAAACTGTTCATCCAATTATCTTATAAGTTCTTCAGTTTTATTCACTACATATCAGGCAGATTTTTCATTCAAAACAAGCCGTGCAGAAGTTAACTAATGAAGCTCAGTCAGTCAGTTCTTGTTTTTTCGGCTGATAGACAGAACCGAGGCGTTCTGTATCTCTTGACATGTAACTCTGCAATACGGATGGTTCGATGATGTTTCACGATTGAAACGGCATAATCTGGTGGTGACAGCGGGAAGCAGGATATGCATTTCAGCTTGTTTAGGACACGTTTAGAATACTCAGTGAGTCGTGGTGTTTGCGCCGCAACGAGCACTCTTCGTTTAAGCGACATTTGTGATGCGTTTGTTCCTCTGCTTCGGGAATGCCACTAGGAAAGTCGCCAACATGGTGCACATTGATTCGACCATATTAGATGGTTGGAGGCAGCAGGGAAGCTTCAAATGACCTATATTTTTCGCTGGTTGGCACTCAGCAGTCAGCAAGGGGTATCTGCGATCCTGAGGAAACTTATGTTCCTTCTGAAATTCAAACATTCTTCGCCAAACGAGTACTGGATTGGAAGAAGTTACCGCTGAGCTCTTTGGGCTCACGACCGACTTTCTGTGAGACCGTATTGAGCACTTTGATTGAGCATTAGTTGGTAAATTTTGTGATATGTCTGGTCTTCTGTTTAGTGAAGACAGAATTTTATCAGTACGTTTTAACTGTTTGTCTCGGTTTGACTTTCAGTGGTAATACTACCACCTACTGGATATCGCATTCACATCCAGCTGACGCTTTTGGAATACTCATCATCCACCAACTACAATCCAGAGATGTTACTGTGTATTAACAAAGACTGAAACATGGTTACAATTCACAGAAAAGTTTAAAGAATGATTTGTTGATTTGATTTCAGGCATCAATGACTAATGCCATAGTCCAAACCTGGATTTATCACTCAGATGATTTTATATTTTAGTTTTGGTGAGGTTGTAACTGTTATTAGAATTCAAATACGCAGGATACGATTTTCCTCTGGCAGTTCATGATACACATTTATTATGTCACGAAGGATGACAAAACCGAAGTAGATAAATTCGAATTCTGACCCTAGATTCATTGACTTAGAGCCTGGAGCTTAAGCCGCTTATTCACAAGTTCGCTGTGAGATCGTTCGACTAAAGAGATGACGCACGATGTTTGATCACCCACTTGAATAATATTACACTCAAAAAGACAGAGACAAAATCGGATCAATCTTTGATGGTCATGTAAAAAACACCAGTGTTAGAAATACTCAGGTCACCTTTGACGTATGCTTTGCAAAATTTCATTATTTCAGTATGAACTTCAGTCAACTTCTCATACATCTGAGCATTATTTTAAAACCTAATCTGCATACTGACGTTATCATGAAATGTATTATTGCTCTAAGTATTCTGCATCGCTTATATTTTATTATTATGGAAGTTACATACTACTAATTTTGTCTTTTCCTATAGACTTACAGACTCTTTTGATGAGGAGAACTTTAATACAAAGTAAACTAAGATGGAATGCAGGTAAACTTGAAATAATCTCTCAGACGAACATTTATTAATAGGATGAATATATCGTTTAAAGATTCTCTGTTCATAGAATTGACACTTAAGTAAATATAATTGATAAAACTACTCGAAAGTGAATTCAGAAGTAAAAATAAATCAAAAGTTGTAAATCTATGTAGGGCGGTTAAGGGAGTGCGTCAGCTGGGAATTGAATCTGAACCACATGTGTGGTTGACGAGTATTCAACCACTGAATCATTGGATTACAGGCGGTATGAGTATAACTGCCTTTTATGATGAGAGAAAAAAATTGTCAGTCATTTGTATAATTCAGCGATGAAAGTGCTTGATATTACCTAAATTCAAGTTGTCACCTATAAAAAATGCTACAAATAGGAGTAGAATCAATCAAATATTTATATAAAATTGTAAATTCCACTTAATCTGAACTCCGTATTATTCTAATATTGTAGTAGATTTGCAGAAGAACAATGCGACTTTGCTAAATATAACGAAAGCATTACAAGAACGAATAGGTAATTCATAATTGGTTATTCTTTCGCCTAAATTTGACGCATAATTTGACACTACAAACCTGCATTAACCAAAGTTTTTGCTTCATTTTCATATCGCCATATAAATATTATTGCTGCGACAATTTAAAGTATTGAAATCAACATGCTGATTTAACTTGAAATGAATGCAAGTCTCAGTCGACCAACATTTGAAATTTATTCTAATGGTCACTGGTGAATTAGTGGAGATTGGGCTTGTCTGATTTTCAAGTGAGCAGTCGTTAGCACAAAACACGTTCGAAAATTACAGTGAGTAACAAACAGGGATGAGGAGAAATCTATATTGAGCAAATTATGAAGCTGTACGAATAACTAGATAAGGTTATTTCAGGATTTCATCATGAGCTGACATTAGTTAGAGAACCATTGGAAAACCTGGGAGTACTGGACAGCTGTTTCGTCCTAGTTTGGGACTCTTCAGCAGTACGCACCCACCGGGATTCGAACCCAGGACCTTCCGGTTACAAGGCGAGCTCGTATACCATTAAGCCACTGGGACCCGATCCAATGGTCCTTGAATTCTAACTTCTGCCAATTCACGACATAGCGCGACCGCTAGCCAATGTCTTCGGCGAGTATTTGTCCTCACACCCGACCAGCTGCACCCTACTGGTCACGACTTCCCACTGGAACCCAGGTAACTACCTACCTGAATAGGGCCAGTCGCCAGTGAGCATCTTATTGGTATTCAAGTGTTGGTTTGTAGGGATTTGATTGATTTCAGGATTTCATCATGAGCTGACATTAGTTAGAGAACCATTGGAAAACCTGGGAGTACTGGACAGCTGTTTCGTCCTAGTTTGGGACTCTTCAGCAGTACGCACCCACCGGGATTCGAACCCAGGACCTTCCGGTTACAAGGCGAGCTCGTATACCATTAAGCCACTGGGACCCGATCCAATGGTCCTTGAATTCTAACTTCTGCCAATTCACGACATAGCGCGACCGCTAGCCAATGTCTTCGGCGAGTATTTGTCCTCACACCCGACCAGCTGCACCCTACTGGTCACGACTTCCCACTGGAACCCAGGTAACTACCTACCTGAATAGGGCCAGTCGCCAGTGAGCATCTTATTGGTATTCAAGTGTTGGTTTGTAGGGATTTGATTGATTTCAGGATTTCATCATGAGCTGACATTAGTTAGAGAACCATTGGAAAACCTGGGAGTACTGGACAGCTGTTTCGTCCTAGTTTGGGACTCTTCAGCAGTACGCACCCACCGGGATTCGAACCCAGGACCTTCCGGTTACAAGGCGAGCTCGTATACCATTAAGCCACTGGGACCCGATCCAATGGTCCTTGAATTCTAACTTCTGCCAATTCACGACATAGCGCGACCGCTAGCCAATGTCTTCGGCGAGTATTTGTCCTCACACCCGACCAGCTGCACCCTACTGGTCACGACTTCCCACTGGAACCCAGGTAACTACCTACCTGAATAGGGCCAGTCGCCAGTGAGCATCTTATTGGTATTCAAGTGTTGGTTTGTAGGGATTTGATTGATTTCAGGATTTCATCATGAGCTGACATTAGTTAGAGAACCATTGGAAAACCTGGGAGTACTGGACAGCTGTTTCGTCCTAGTTTGGGACTCTTCAGCAGTACGCACCCACCGGGATTCGAACCCAGGACCTTCCGGTTACAAGGCGAGCTCGTATACCATTAAGGTTAAGTGGAATGTATTGTGTTTGGAATGTCATCCGATCAATATACTCTCTGCAATGCCTGAATCTGCTAATTTTAAACAAAAACATCATTGGCTGTTGAAGGACTTCTAATGACACCAGAAATCGGTAGGATTCAGAATTGACAGCATTTTGTTACAGTGGCCAAGTGATCGACGAGATCTCTTCTTTACCTGTAGGCCATAGATACAGTTGGGTTTGTGTGGGATAAATAAAACGTAGAATTAATCAGTCGTCCTGTAGTATAGCTGCTCTGGAAGAAGAAACAACATTTCTGCTTACATGTGCTGTTGTATTTCTCCAATGACTGACTCATACAAGTCATAAATGCTCGGTATCTGTTGACGCATCAGCATCTAGTACAGATGTTCCGACAAAATCTGAAGGTTAAGATGGTGATGATGGTCAGCATAGAAAACACGAATACACATTATTACCAAATAAAGGCATGTAATCTGGCTTAGCTTTCAATCTCTGAAGGAAGCTGAAGACGCATCATGACGATTAGCATCAACAATTGTAATATTTGTGTTCAGTGGGGTTTCGTCAACTGGAACCTATCATTTATCACAACACTGCCCTAGTGGATTATGCCTTGGCTGGATTGAAGAAGCAATGAGAAAATCATCACTCACTGGGTAATGAAAGTACATGCATCTGACAAGCTCCGAATACAACGAAATGAGTATTCTGAATTTGACGGATAGCCATCATCAATCAGACAGCAGCTCTACATCAGTAATTCCGCATTTTATCAAACGAGATTCATAAACTACTTTATGAAACAATGACTTATTTTATGTTTTCTCTCTTACTGTCTACAGAAAATATTAATATTCAACTGTCACCTGATGGATTGTCTATAAATGACTGTAAGTTATAACGTACAAAATATATCACACTCTAACTTAAAAATTTAGATGCTGCTTGTACAGGAAAACTGTTGGAAGCGGAAACTGGATTCGGACTTATGCAGAGTATGCGCATTTCTTATATTTTGTTTTACCATCATTGACGAAATTGACATAGCCTTTAAAATAATTTTGTTCCATTACCCATTTCGTCTTACACAAATGAATAGGGAGAGGGCTACAGAGATCCGGGTTTTGTAAAACAAACTATTGGCAACCGTGATGTGTGTACGTGCTCCGAATGTCTGAGTTACGCAGTCTGTCCGTGGTTCAGCTTCCGAGCAACATGTTCTTCGACCTCACCTATCTGACAATAAGGCCGGTGAAGAAGAAAGGTTAGGTGTGAGGCTAGTAATTTTACCTCGCAAAAGCAAAATTAGAGCTACTGGAACATCTCAGCTTGCGTCCTGATGCCCTATGTTCCATCTGGAAAGAAAACGAACGCAAACAACTTTATTTCAAACATGTCATCACTTTTCCGCTTTATAATTGGCTTGATGCTTGGAAATACAAACTGGGGTGAATGTAACTATAAACTGTGCTATGAACAATAGCCATTGTATCCAGGTTATCGTCATAAGCGAGACTCACCACGTTATCACCCTCTTCGTTTGGGGCTGATTACTTGGTGAATCATCCTAAATTGAGTAAATTGCGTGATGGGTATTGGATACTAGAAGCCTAATGATACAGAAATCTAAATGACAATGGTCGAACGCTCTTTGGCGTTCCCCAGGAGAAAATGTTTGAATACCATGGCAAATGAATTGTTTCTTAATAGATTGGAGCTAAAGTTTCACTCTGCATCAAAGTCCTTTTATGAGATTTTCTGAGGTGAAGTCACCTCGTGCCAATGGACACATAAAAGTAAGGTCTACACTATGCATGACTTTATTTCAGTGAGCCGAACAATATTATTATGAACTTCTCAGATAGTAAGTAAATCGACATTACCATGACGGACCGATACATGCACTGTGATTCTGTGTTCTTGAGTAAGAGATACGGTCAAGAGAATAACATATAGCTGGAAGCCAGTTTCACGATGTTGCTTCAAATAACCGCTTTTACTATACGCACAGGTGATGGTGTTTTCATCTTTATGTGCTTTAATCACTTAATAGAAACTGATCGCATTTCTCTTTTTCAGAACCGCTGAATTTCTTCTCGTAAATGTTTGTTTTAACTTATCAGATCTTGTGGAAGCTATTGAGAAAGAAGAGAATTTCCGTAAACTACAATGTTTAGTTCTGTGCTTTTACTCTTTTTCACGTTTAGAATGGTGCGCATCTCGGTAGCTGGAAATTGCTAGCAGAGATCTTTTTATCCTGGGTATAGCGACTGTTGATGCTTATCACCGCATAGTATAACTGTTATTCGAAAGAAATGCCCATCCCTTCTGAAATTACAACTTGCATCGCCTAATGATTTAGTCAGGCATAACTAGTAGTAATTTACACTCATATTTAACATTTGATAGCTTCTTAGTGTAACTCTGATATCTGATATTTTATATACATCCAGTATTTAATGTTCAATTTCCAGGATACATTGCCAATGATATTGTGAAAATGAAAGAGTGCTTTCAAAATAAGAAAAAGAACTATGAAGGTGAATATAGACTTTTGTGTAAAGACTTTCAACTCACTGTCGCATAGTGATTCTGCTTGGTTGTTTTGCCATTAACGTAAGTGGTAATCAAACACATGGCTACTATGTTAGGGCTGAAGTGTATCTTCATTTGTTTAAATTCAAAGTAATTCATAGATTTTAGTGATGACAACAGCAACACCAACAACAACAACAAGTTACTTACATGGTCTCAGCTGTTCGATAGTAGTGTGCTCAGCTGCCGAATCGGAGGCCCAGTTTCAGTTCCTAGACAAAATATGCGTAAGCCTTGTCTACTTACTAGCCATATTCTCTTCAATTACATTCAGATGTGCATTAATTAGCCATCAGTGTTAACACCGCCATTTTTCACCAGTGCAACATTATTCGAATCCTTTCTTTAGCCCAAGTATTCAATCCATCTTCACTGATATCATTCTCATTGAGTCATACTTACACCATGAATTGTTTTTTGCTTCATATAAATAGGAATTATCAAAGGTAATGGATGGGAAGCGTGCTCACTTACTCATCCGGAGCTCCTCCATGAGGGTACGTCATTGAAAAATGTTTTCATCATCATTAATGTCATGCGAAATTAGGCCAGAATCAGATAGCTTTGCTCTAGGTATAAGGTATTGCGCTTCGAAAAAATAAAAATACAGAGACTTGTTGATGACGGTAAATAATACAGCAGTAGTGCGGGACACTCCTTATTCCGCATCATCACTGGGTGAAATCTAAATAAAGTCACACTTTTCATTTACCTGATCAGTATAGTTACAACTAAAGGCGATACGAATGAGGATGTCAAAGACAGTCAGGATCGGGAAAGCAGGACAGGCTTTCACTACTCTGATATTCATGCGAAGTGTTTCAGCATTCGTAACATGGACTGGGTTAATAATAAGCAACAATAATGTCAAGGTAGTGCTTCTTTGTAGCGTGGAGGCTTGAGGTTCACATCACGAAATGCACTTGCAACAACTCTAATCAGAACTCCATCAATAAGCAGCCTCTCTGCTGCCTGGATAATGCAGAAAAGATGGTCAGGATGGGCATCAAGTGACCTCAGATGGCAGCAAACCACCAAGTAGCTTGTTGCTCAACATATATAAAAAACGTAATGGAAGTGGATTCCACATACACTGAGAAGACAATCAGGTGACATCACAAACCAGACAAGCTCTCGAATTCAACCTGAGTGGGAAGCAACGAGTTGATCGTCTCAGTGTGACATGGAGAGAATTATGTGATGGGGAGATGAAGGCTTTGCTCAATTGTACAGCCTGCTGAAATTTATGAGACATAATCCAGTGGAATGAATAAGTGCCACATTGATGGCCTATGTTTCGCCCAGAGTGACTAAAAAAATACTTAATAAAAAGGTAATTGAACAAAACAAGAACTAAAGTTTTAGCAGAATAAAATGGTACCATCTTTTATTTCGTTGCCTTCTCGTCAGCTGCTTACATGGCAAAGACATTATTAAATATATCTAAAACAACAATTTTAACATACTTGCACAGAGTTCAGTTTAAACAAAAATCAATCGATCAATATACCCATACACCAAAAATATATACATATATAAATATGCAATATTAACCACTATTCCGAACAATAATAATCAAACACCCACATGGAAAGGACAACACTTGCATTTTAATAGCTTTTGTCCACATAGCTTTAAACGTGGTCTAGTCAAGACTTTGTACTATAGAGCGAGGAGAATATGCTCTATAGAGAAACTAGAGGAGGACTTTGAGTTCCTTGAAAATATACTGAAGAGAAATGGGTATCCTCAAAAGTTCATCAACAAGTATGGAAGATCTGAAGTCACAAATGTAAAACAAATCACAGTGGAAAAAAAGCCAGTCTACCTTCAGCTTGAAAATATTGCAGCGATGATCAACAGAAGGCTGAGGACATCACTAGCCATAGCGTATCCTGCAGCTAAGCTCGTTCCCGTCTATCGAACAACTTACTCTTTGGTGCAAACAAAAATCGATAGATATCCTTCTCATGTTACCTCCAACTGTGTATAAAAATTGACATGTATCTGCGATTGTACTCACATTGGAAGGACAGAAAGAAGGGCGTATCTACGATTTTCTGAACATGTACCAAAAAGCTTACGTCTAAAGGGAACATATGCTTTACACAGTGCCATCACCAGGCATCTCCTTGACACGGGTCATGAGGTGGACGTCGGAAAGTCGTTCAAAATTATCAATAAGCAAAATAGCTCAATTCTCCTTAAGTTTGCTGAAGCCACTTCCATCAAGCGCCTGAAACCTGATTTATGCGTCCAGAAAGAAGAGGTTATCAGTCTTTCTTTACCCTGGTAACTGGATAATTTCACCTCTCTTTCCTCCGAATGTGAAATGCTAAAAAATTCCCATTGTGTTTGATTATTATTGTTCGGAATAGTGGTTAATATTGCATATTTATGTATGTATATATTTTTAGTGTATGAGTATAGTGATCGATTGATTTTTGTTTAAACTGAACTCTGTGCAAGTATGTTAAAATTGTTGTTTTAGATATATTTAATAATGTCTTTGCCATGTAAGCAGCTGACGAGAAGGCAACGAAATAAAAGATGGTACCATTTTATTCTGCTAAAACTTTAGTTCTTGTTTTGTTCAAATTCATTAAGGGGAATAAATGTATGAAAAAGTTAATTCTCGACTATAAGTAAGTGAAATATACATCATGTTTAAATCTGTGTTTTATTCCCAACACAAGCAATGCTATAACAATGCGCCAGATGCTCACTGGTACAGCACTCAATAATCGAGCACATATTCTGTAGTTCATTTTCCCGCCAACGCACTTCTTTGCCTCAACTAGACGGAAGTTAGCCTGGTAAACAGAGAAGGTTAGACTTGAGGCTAGCACCGCCGAACAACACCAACACTCCAGGAACTCAAAAGCTCACGTTTCCATCTATTGGTTTCACTCTGAATGATAAGAAATGAAATAAATCAATAAAATAAGAATAGTATTTATGAAGATTGATCATTGTGAACTGGTTGCATTTCATATCCTCGTCATAAATAAAGTACTACAAGTAATTTCTGATCTTACCGTGACTATGTATTTCACACATTCTGATATTAAAATTGACCATCCTTCTATGCAACAATCTCCTACGCCATGGTGTTGTCATCATGGTCTATAATAATAAGTTTCTTCAAAAGGGAATGAAGCTCTACCAGTTAGATGTGACTGGATTTAAAGGACAGTTTTTGCTCCTCATGATATTATTGTGATTTTCTTCAGTGAAGACACACAGTTCAACGTGGCTAGTATCATAAGGGAAATCTTCTTTCAACTGAGGAGAGAATTGACATGTGATGAGGATCCATTGGCGTTTTTAATTGATATTTCCTCAGATATCGTATGGAACATAGGGCTACCGTCACACATATCTATTTATTTTTGGCTGACTTAACTAGATTTCCTTATGCACATTTGTAAGATGATGATTTCACTGTTGGCGTTACCTCATAGTTCGTCGTTACATGTGCTAGCTGGCCGGACATCTGACCTTCAGTACTGGGCAAATTTAGCTGTTGATAAAAAATCAGCAGCCAGCGTGAAAGTTTTGTTTATCTTACAAGTCAGTTTTATTCGAATAAAACCTGCAATTTACATTTTGATAGAAATTGAAGAAATGACCAACATGATAGCTGAGCTGTATAGTGAAATCAAAGAACAAGCCGAGACTGTATGTAAGTAATACACACACACACAAAGTGAATTTTAGAGTATAATATGATCTGACACAAACTTTCATACTACAAATGCTGAATATATCATAAAAACAATCTATTTCTAAATATTATTATTTAAACTATGACAGCTCTATATTTATTTCAAAGTAATTTTATTCATAGACTGAAATAGGATGAGGAGCAGTTTCACTTTCCAGTTTGATGCTTATCAGAATTGTGTACACAACGACTTGTCTGAGGTTGAACTTTTGATAATTAGGTCGTAAGTTGGAACATTGAAACCCGGAGCTTATGTGTGGTGAAGAATGACTATTTTGAATCATACACGAATGATATGGAAAAAATTGGCATCACCATCGAACAGAGAATGGGAATTCGAGTAGACATTGACTGAGAAGTGATTTGGAAAATGATTCAATGCAATGAAGTGTCACGAATCTTCATTAACTTCATTCAACATCTACATAACTATTTCACAAGCCAAGTAATCCCAAAGGGAGAACTGGTTGAGACACTCCGAGTGAAGACTTCAGTAAGGCAAGCGTTAGAAGACCGCTGAGTGATATCACACGCATCGCAATCCCCCGATTAGAGCTTCGAATGGAAAATGCTAAGTTGGATTTTCGAGTGTGACATGGAGGAGAAGAGACCTTCTGACTTATAAGGCGCGTAGAAATAGAAAATTTTAGAATGTTGAAGAAGTTAGGTGTATGCTCAATTTCATAGTGCTAGTAGTCTGTCATAAAATGTTTCCTGCTGTGTAATGTACTGTGCAGTGGTTGAACTCCAGCCATCATGTGTCATGGCTATTAATTCTTCTTTCTCTCCTTGCTTTCAGTTCGACGGAAATTATACACAAGCAGGTCAAATGAACTGGAGAAATCGATAGCTACAGGTGAGTGGAATATATGCGAATTAAAGTGAGGTGATTTCTTTAGAAATGTTAACTCATCCTGTTTCTTACTTAAATTGAGAATAATTAGAGTCAACTGTGTTGCTTTTAGTAAATTATTCTTCAGACTATATAATGACAAATCTATTGACTTTAACATATATCAACCAGTGAAGGTGTAATAGAATTGTCGGCAACTCTATTGTGCTACAAGTACAAAATGAAATAATAGTCAATTCCTTGACAATACAGAAGAACTCACTAACTGACTGATCGACTTAAGTGTGGTGTTGAAAATTCAAACTATCTTTTATTTTCGATTTTCGATTTACAGCTTGATTCCACACTGTATTTTTGGTACAAGTATGGAATTTTCAGCATGGATATCGGTAGCCCAAATTTTGCAGGCCGACCATAGATATCAGGTATGCGCCGGTGTGGGCTCGAACCCCGGACCATGTGCATGGTTGGCGAGAGTCCTAACCACTGTGCCACCGACGCACACGTTGAGTGAAGAAGATTGAAATGGATTTTACAGTACTGGAGGTCAGTCTCATCTTTACAATTCTGACTGGTGCTGACAGCATCATCCGTGTCAACTGTTTATAGTTGAAACGATGCTTCCTAGATAAGTGAAGGTATGAAGTGACCTCTTTCAAATTCATTCTGTAGATACTGATTAGTGATGCTATTTGTGTTCGTCGGCATGGTGGTGGTTTTGGCGGTGGTTGGTAATGTCCATCAAGTTCATTTCCTCTATGTTAACTTTAAATCCTGTCTCTTCGAACACAACAACAACCAACTTTTATGGTCGTTATTCTGAATAGATTTTTAGCCTATTCAAGTTATTCCTTATCTCTCTGACAACTTTCATTCCACTTGTTTATATAAACATCATCTTAGTTAAAACTGAGTCTTTTGTAATATTTGAATTTCACATAACAACAAACTGTTGGATATAATATGAAACAAATTACTCCGTAAACTTGTGCGTCTCATGAACTTCACTTGCCCAGTTAGAGTGAAGCTTATTGCATATTGAATCGACAAAAAGTACTCTACTCAGTATATATGCTGTATCCGTCATCTCTGTAGGAAAAAGAGTTCATTGTGTAACCAAGTGAACTGCGTTGAGAAACAATTTTAAAATAAGGACTTTCAAATGTCAATTTTTAATTTTACATTGTCATTACTATTTGCATTTGATCCATTGTTCTTTCTAAAAAGGATATGTTTGTTTTTTTCTATTTACAGAATAACTGCGTCCCCGGAAATCATCATTTCTTCTTATCACTCAATGACTTGTGAGATGATACAGTGTTGAGCGACAAGTTCCGACCTTGAAAACATTCACATTTATTAACTATTTCTATCATTAACATTGTTGGTAATTATTCCATTCGAATTGTTCCATTCTTCTGAAATAATGCTGTCTTAATTCACTGTGTAATATTTAACGTTTGAAACATCAAAGTGTGAAATGAAAGTAATAAAAGCAAGAAACTGCGAACAACCACTGCTTTTGCTATTAATTTCTTGAGTTCTGAGTGGAAAGTGGGACTGCAGCGACACATCTCCCTCCCATCAATCTCAACTGCCTGTACTACTGCCCGCCTACATGCATTCATTTCTAAGTCATGCGATCTCCTACATATCGTTCTCACACACAATGCGTTTTTCATCATTTGGATTCCAGCCGATGGCAGAATGGTGTGAGATATTGCATGAATCTCTCCACAGAATAGATCTAATCTGTCTGCACTGCTGCCTAGAGTGGCTTTCACTGTTGCACAATAATTCTTGGCTGATGGCTTTACCGTTATTATCGAGGCAACGATGTGAACAGATATTGATGAATGTGTGCGGTAGCAAGTTAGAGATGTTTTGTTTTCTAAGAGCATCTTTGCAGTGAAACTTGAATGAGTAAAAAACAGTTTGTGAATCTGTGTGAGTGATTTTCAAAACGAACGATTTACAAATAGGGTGAGCAGTTTGCTGCTTCCACTGACTTTCGTGAACTATTTCATGTGAATAACGAGTTAATTTTGTTAAGCGTGAATAGCAAATGACGAAATTTATTTGATTTACTGTGTATTCTTCCCTTTATCTTCCATTCACGTTAACGTGTCATCATTCTTGATAGTTTCGAGAGATACGTGCAGACAGATCTAAGTGTACGCCTGTTCACAAACCAATGTCAGTTAGGGAATCAGTTGAAAGTATTCATAGTTGGAATCTTGACAATCAGGACGAGATAAGTGTTCAGCATTTCTATGGTGCGTTTTACGACACTCGCGCCAAGTCTCTGAAGCATGCAGAAGCACTGAGTCGACATTGATGTGGATTTCCACACTGCTTTGAGTGCAGTGTGCATATCTCTTACCTCTGAGATTTCCTTTTTGACCCTCTAAACTGCGACGCACCATGTGGTGGGAACAATGCAATAAGTACCACTTATTGCCTCACACATACGAACGACACTGACTCCATTATCATTTGAGTTTCTGATCTGATGACTTTGTGGAATACTGCGAAATATCTGGACGAAGTATCTCATAGTTTACAGGATTTCGTCATGAGATGACAATAGCTAGAGAACCATTCGAAAACCTAGGAGTGCTTGACAGCTGTACTTCATAATTTGTAGGTTTCAGCATAAATTACCAGCTAAACATAGCATAATATCGATCACCATGAGACACAAACACATAACAAACTGAGGCTGTAAATGCAGTACATCAACTTGAAATGTTAGCTGTACAGATCAAATGGGAAAACGGAGACTATGTTGAAGTTCCTCAACTTCAGTTATACCGCCACAAACACAGCCACACTGAACACTTAACATCACATTCTAGACAACACTGCACACCATAACCTCTGTCACCTTTTGATAGATAAATATTACACAAGAAAGTGAAGAGAACTCAGCGTACGCTACAACGTACCACATCGTCATTGTACAAGTGAAGAAATGTGAGATCTCAAAGTGCTTAGTATTCACGCTGACACAGAACAAAATGATTCTAATGACTGATTAAAAACTTTGAAACGGAAGAGATGAAAGTCAAAAGTCACCTCATATTTTGCAGTTGTAAACAACATTCCAATGAGAAGAGTGTTCAAGATGACATATGCATGAGTGGATGGTAAATAAAAATAAGCAGAGGTTAAACAGTGTGTGCGGTGACAGAATGTCAATAAGTTACTTATAATAAATTTAGATATCTGAACAGAAGAGTTTTATCACAGTGAAATAAGAAGTCAAAAAATACACCTTTCACGCTGACATCTGAATGAAACAAGTCACGTATTTGTTTTATACAACACCTCTAGTATTTTTGTTATATGCGATTAATACCGTGTTAATATGAACACCTATATTAGCTATCTCAAGTGATTTTACCAGTTGTAAATAATGCCTGAATCTAAGTGGTACTGCATCGATGTGCAGTCTGCCGACTTATTTCTATCTTTTTCAACCACTCACTATGCACTTATCATGTCGTATTTTCTTAAGAATTTTGAAAGAATTACAGCTGGGTAGACTCAATTAACTCCCGTCAATGGTGAATGAAAATATCTACAGATGAGAGGCCTAGTCGTGAAACAGTGTCGGTGTTGGTGTTGGCAGCACTATTATCATTAGATTGGCAGGAATTGTCATCTAGTAATTTCCTTATCAAACAGTGCACAGTCACAGATTTGTTCAGTGTCATAACTTAGTGATGATGTTATTTACCAACTACTTTGTTGCAAATTTTTAATTTCATGATCAGTTTGTTGCCGAATATGCATCAATGAGAAGTAAAGCAAGTCGGTCAGTCAAGAAGCCCATTTTCGGTGAACTGTTTTTCTTTGCCTGTAAAATACCACCCATGTGGAATTATTTCCATGAAATGGGATAATGGAAGCAGAATAAGATCTTACAATCTGTAGTTTTGTCGGCTTCTCATTATCTACAACCAGGTTAAAATGTTCACTAATTCGATTTTCCTAGCAATTCGTAGAATACTTGGGCATTTTACTTGATGTCAGAGGTTAACAGGCAACTCAGAAATTAATTCAGCAATGCTTAAACATCTGACACACAGGGAGCTGAAGATATGGGTGCACACACCGAGTTAAGTTTCAGTGAGTAAATCGTTGTTGACGAAATTCACTGTGATATTCAAAACATAGTCATAACAATATTTCATTCGTGACGTTAATACGAATTCAAGCAATACATCTGCATGACACATTCACTGGAGACATGTTCGAATCCATCATGGACGGACATCCATTCCCTTCTGGAAGTCACTGTTAAACTGAAGAAAAATTAAACCAGAGAAGAAAACGACAGTAGAAACTCATTGATGGACTTTTTATATTTTATTCATTACAAGTGAACTGACTTCATTCACATTTCTACTTTAAGGATTTTAATCCGCTTGAAGTGAATAGACTTCATTCTCTCTGTATAGAATGAAGAATTTACAAATAATCTCATTTTGAGTGAATGCTTCTTTCAGCCATTCAGAAAGTAGACATATCTTACTAGATTTGGCAGTATTTTAAGCCAGTACTTTAAATGACTTTGAATGTCACACATTATCGATTATTTCATATTTTATAATAATAATGATAAAATATGTGTATATATTAACTGATACTGTTTTACTTGTACTCATATTAAAATGCTGCTTTAAATAGATTGAAATATTTGAATTCATACAACATTATGTTCCACTTAATAGTTGTACATTTTTTCTGTCAAATCTCTTCATTCTTCAGGCAGTATTTACCGTGGTTATTCCACTTGTTTCTCAAGAGTGATTTATTGCTGTGTTAAACCTTGAAGCCAAAATAGTGCTAAATAATTCCCAGAATTACAAGCAAAATAAAAGTTCTTCTGATTTACACTCACTTTCGGGTGTATTTATGTGCCAGTAGTCCTGACCTAGAAATCTTTCTCATTAATCATCACAGTTGTATCATTAGTTTTCTATGTCACACGACTTCATATCAGTCAATCACAATTTGAAACGTGTAGTAGGTATTGTATAGTTGAAGTGCACACTATAATTACCCATTCAGACACGACACCAGTGGTACTCGTCACTAATGCGCACTCACTAACCCATTACGAATGCATTCGTGTACTTTAAGGTCATATGATGAATATGTTACTAGAGATCATGAATTTCCACCTCTGAAAATTCTCGGAATAACAGGGTCACTGTCATTCACTATCAGCAATAAATTACCTACTGTCACAGTTAAACGGTTACTTGTCATTTAGGCACCACGATGAATGGATTCAGAGTGCATTATCACTTTATAATATCTCGAACAACTATAGCAATAACAATAGAGGATGTGTATACCGAAATTCTCACTTCCATGATATATATAACAGTAACGGAATCTGCTACAGTGTGGCATCACATTACGCTATTTACAATCAATATCGGGTATATTTTGTCTTCTACTAGCCACTACTATTATTACTGTCGTCATCATTTTCAGCTTTTTCATTGACATGAGGTGATTTACATGAACACTCCTGAGTACAGTATAAAATACATGGGGTGATCATTGTATACAAAGACTTAGAAATAAACCAAGGCAATTAAATGTCACTAACACTTGACTGACTGTAAAATGATCAGTTGATTGTCAATTCACAACTAACAGAAAAGCTTGTCTATGAAGATACTTCAAAGGTCTACGCAAATCATCATCATGTTCTTGTCTTCTCTATTGAAGTGTTGACTGGGGACAATATCAAGATGTGTAAATAACAGTTTAATGAAATCGGAAATGAATCTGGAGTAAAAGTGAAGTGAACCGAGCCATGTTCTCAAAGGTTACGACATACAATTACGTAAAGATGCTTTCATAAGAGGCTCCAGACGACTGTCATCAAGTCTCAAATCCTTGGAGTCTACAGCATATCCTTAGCATGATATGGATGACAAAGTAAAATTACATGTAGTTGGAATAATCAGGATATCTCTGTAAGAGAAATGCCTGGACAGTTATAAAAGCGGTCCGATATGCAATGCAATGTTCATTTGATGGACTACAGTGTAGTCTTTGTCAGATTGAACACCGTCTAATCTCTTCATCACCTGATTTATTTATTTTTTGAAAAACTGCAGGTGAAGCCTTCACACCAGAAGGCGAGAACTTATACTTAAACAATACAAATTGAGTATTAATCTGTGTAATCAGGAAAGAATCCATATCAAACGGAATCTACAAATGAGATCTATCCAGGGGAAGAATTTCTATCCAAATAGTTGTGAAAAATGTTTTCAGTTTCTCGTGTAGTGTAACTTTGATGCAGCAAACGACTGCTGAGTGAAGGCTGGCAGTCAGAACAAATTCCCAGTGTCTGACCAACCACCATAACCAGTACTACCTGCAGTCGAACTAGTTGAGAGTCAGGTTGACGTGGATATGCTTACAAAGCGACACTAAATCTTTCTTAGCAATCATCGACTCATTACTCCCAGTATCAATTATCAAAGAATGAAA